AGGCTTTACTTTTCTATCAAGTACAGCATTGTTCTGCACATTTCCATCAATACACCAGATTTCATCATAACCCATTTTCTGCACCAAATATACCAACAGTTTTATAATTATTCAAGCATGGAAAAAACAATTAAATAAAAACATTGTCTTGTCCATGCTTCTTTCCAAAAGATTGAGTTTTTAAGAACAATTAGGACTAGTCGCTGGTCCATTCACGACATGATAAAATTTCTCAAAGTAACAGCGATGGAGGTATGACAAGAATTGACAAACAACTTAGACAATATCTATGTTCAAACAGTACAGATGTTTTTTTCTTTGTTGGTAGATAGACAACTCGGCTTCCAAGTTCAAAACGAAGATATCCACAAATACGAGGTCTAGCAGGCTTTCATTGGCCCAACCACTAAATTGTAGGAACAAGTGAGTAGAAAAAGAGAAGCATTGCATGCACTGTAGTAGCAACTACTATAATCGCTCTTTATTTGACCTAGCGATGAAATGACCCTCCCTTACTAGCGCCCTGGCAGGCTACAAATTCTCCTAGAAGAATACATTCGTGGGTAAAGAAGATATCAAATAAAAGCATTATTTTGTTCTTCACGTCCAGTATTTGCTTGCTCCTAGAAGAGAAGTTAATGCGACAGGTCTCCAAATGTATTCACGGGTATGATTTTCGTTGTGATTATTTGATCTTATTGGGAGTCACAAATTTTGCTTTATTGGCCAAGTGAGACTGTGGAACAAGTAGGAAAATGGAAGAAAACTTATGTAAAACCTAGGAAATTTATTAAGTAATAGTAATAAGGGGCTAAAACAAAACATTTAACGATTTAATAGGCATTTTGGGGCATTTTCTTGAGTTTATAAATCGGCAATATTTATCACAGGCTAAATCTTTGCGCAGTTGGGTTATGCGCAACCGTTTTCGTACGAAACTTTAAGATAAGATTAGTGATGCTGTCGGTCAAGTGGTGCATTGAGCTCGGCAGTGACTAAGTGAAATAGTAAATCCCAAAACGAAATGATACCAATGCATTGCAAATTTCTCCAATTCGGTATTCGGCCGCATGGAAGGAATAACCAAAGTCGGTGGAGGGAAAGGCTCTTTTCACCTTCGGCCGATTGATTTACTCTTCCATTTTTAAGGTTAGTTTTAATCCTTGCTGAAGGTTAGCTCCAACTATAGCGAGTGAGTGGTCGTCAACGGCACCGGCCTAGAGACAATTGATAAAATGATAAGTGCGGTTTCATCATATGTTGGCATGCAAGCGAAGATTGATAGAAATACGATCGCGTAGATGCTAGTCCGTGTAAAAAGGAGAGGAGAAGGTTAAAGTCAAAACGTACCCAAGCCCTCCAGACCAGAACCACCGAAACTGGACTCGGGTCCACCAGCATGAAGTTCGCTGGAAAGCAGAGACATGACTTTAAAGCCAACTTGGACAGAGAAGCAGCAACCGGCAACTCAAAAGATGGATCTGTCATGGCAATAGCATAAGCAATGAAAGGTCTGTTTAGGAAATGATTACGAACAAGCGGCTCCAGACAAAGCCAAACATAGTATTTGTAGGTGTTAACAACCTTTCCTATATCATACAGCAAATGTTTCGTCCCCAGAAATCAGCTATAGAACTCTTCTAAAAAAATAGGACTGTCTCTAACACCAAAAAGCGTTCTTTTAACTCCACTTAGCCTGTAATTCAAATACTAATTCAGTTTCTCATGAATGTTGCTAGGACTGGAAGTTGTTTGACTTTGTTCTCGCAACTCGGTCATATTGGTAGGAAGACTTAGAGGAACGCACCTAGTCCGGAGTCCATTGTATGCATCAAGAAGTTGTTTGACCTTGTTTTCGCAACTCAGTCATATTGGTAGGAAGACTGATAGAAACGCACCTTGTCCTGAGTCCATTGTCTGCATAATTAGAAACTCGGTCATATTGGTAGGAAGACTTAAAGAAACGCACCTAGTCCGGAGTCCATTGTATGCATCATCGTCTAGAGTAGGACCGTGGACGTGGTACATTCACAGACGTTTCGCCGGCATCGTCAGTGAGTCTCGCCATTCGTAGCACCAAATTACGCTTCAGATACAAGTGAAGCCCATCCTTTGACCAAAGGTGTGCTAAACAGTTATGATATCACCCCCTTCTGCTCTGGCCTATTCACATTTCCTATATCCTCCTATCATGCCTTCCTTGTCAACATTTTTACCGTGCTTATTTTTAATGTAGTGTGGTGTGCTCCTTCGAGCGGCATTCATGAAAAC